CTCAACTATTTCTCTCAGTGTGGCAGCGTGAAATCACACAATTGAAGTCATTTGAAACAATTTGCAGGACATCATCTCTGATGCTGCTGAGAAGCCTCTCAGAGACACACCTATGAATGTAAAACAGGGATGGGGGTGGCAAATGCGTGGCCTCTGGGGGTTAGAGAGAGGGGTCTGTGTGAGCGCCTCTAAAGGTCAGTTATTATTCAGTTATCAGGTGTTGATGTTCAGTTGCAGCCAACAAAATATAGCCCAAATTTTGTGCATTCATCTCAACATGTCAAACAATCCTGTACGCACACTTTGCATACTCACAACCCACAGAGTATTCATATTCACTCCACCTTTGCTGACATCTCATCTGAATACACCCTGCTTTAACTCTGCCCTCAATCAAGCTTTGTGTGTCAATATTAATCAGTGCACAACAGAAGCACCTATCCTCTCTCGGAGAGCAACACAACACAAAAGTCCTACCCATGACAACAGTGGTCTGAACAAGCCCCTCCCACTGACAGCTGGCTTATTGTGTGCCGTGGCTCTGAAGCGGCCTTGTTTCCCTTTGCTTGGACAGTTCAATAACTAATCTCAATGCAGCCAGCAGCATGTAGCTTTGAAAACGAGTAGGGCAGCCTCGATGGAAAGTCATATAATCTGCTTGTCTGTGTTGTGTCGGGTAACTGGGAGGTTACCTTGTCAGGTCACATGAGGATTCAGAGATGGAGCACACACCTTGACTGCACAATATGATACAGTTAGATTCATTTGCTTTGCAGTTGTTGTTTGTCTCTCAAGTAAACATGTCCTCATTTTGTCATGAATTTTTAACAGGGAGGCATTCTCCCCAAAAACGTCCTCATGGACTGACACCTTTGTTTTTGGTTATTAAAATTCTACACCGGTGTTTCATTCAGCCAGTAGCTCTGCACACATCTGAGGGAACACAGTATTAACCCATTTTGCCTAATTTAACTTATTTACCATGTTTATTTAATCAGTAACTTTTCTTTTTGTGTTCTGCAGAATGATTTGTTTTGTAATCAAGTTGGTCATATCAAAGGTTATCGCGGCACGTTTGCAATTATTCTTCCCAAGATTGCGAATGACATTTTAATCTGCCATTTCATCGTCCACCCACAGTAATGAAATTGAGAAAGGGCAGCCGTAGTTTGGTCTCCATCCTTCAGTTCATTCATCCATCTGTCACATCTCAGACACCCAATTTTGATGGAGCTCAGTGGGGATGATGCATGTACACAAAGCTATACTAATTAGCTCCGGGAAGGCAGCGTATCCACTCCCTTTGGTTCAGTGTATTGAGGATATACTGTAGGATTTGTGAGCCTGAGAACCATTTAGTGGGTATTAACAGATCTTCTTTGTCTTTTTTTCACTATAGAAACTTTGTTTTTATTATTTATGTGCTTTTATAGTTTTATTTTTATGCTATTTGATTCAAGTTTTGCAGTAAAAGTAATTGCATTTTTGTTTTCTGCATATTGGGAAGTTTGAATGATCACTGTTTGTCTGTTGATCTGTCTACCATTCATTATCATTAGACAAAACTTGTATGAATTATGCATGACATTGGGAGCACAACAGACCAGTTAAAAGATCATCTGTGACCAGTCACATCTTTGATATAATGTGCTACTTTTAACAAGCACGCTGACCTGTCGAGTCACCCCCCAGCCAACGGTTACTTACAATGACATCACACATCCAATCCGACCAGGACTCGCAGCAGAACAAATGGCAGATCCCCCTGATGTTACTGCACACAGGGCACGCGTGCAACCCCCCCCTTCTGTCACATGTAGGCTAATGAACAGCAGGCTCGTGCTCTTGATGGAGCAGCCTTTTGGGCCACAAGAACCGTGTGTACTCACCACTTTCTGCTTGGACACACACAAACAATGGGACACGTCTGGAGTGCTTGGGGCCCAAACCCTGAGGAAGGGCAGATGGTGCTCGGGATCGAGGACCGCACCCCCATTAGCATGAGAAAAGAGAGGGACACAGGCGGGGGAACAGGTACCCTCTCTCCTATTTCCCCTCTCCATAGAGATTAGAAAGGGGGTGACTCATTTACTCAACAGAGTCTGTGGCGCTGATTTGGAACCCAATTAGGAGCAAGCTGTCAACGCAGCAGCGCAGAATATCAAATGTGAGGATCCTATTTGAAAAAAAAGTCTCATCTCTACGGTTGCATAAAAAATGCACAGTTTTCCCTATCCATATTTAAGCTCCTGTTCATCATTTATTTAAGAAATTTCATTTTGCATGTGCTGTATTAGAATAACTCCAGATTATCTTTTTATTCCAACATTATGGGCGAACAGAAAATATTTGAGGTTTTTATTATAAACAGTATTTTTTTATGTGCGTGGCTGCTGTTCTTCAGCAGAATAGCTGTATTTTTTAAGTGAACACATGTGGTAGCTCTTTTTTATTCTATCATACCCTTAAATTTAAGTCCCAGCAGGTGCTTAAATCCGCAAAATGTCTTTTTAATGTGCATAAATCTCAGATTTAATTGGACATACATGCTGGGTTTTCATGCAGCTGGCCACGGCAACTCATAAGCTAGAGTTAAAGTAGCTCAGGTACTTATTGATTAATATTTGAAAATATATATGTGTGTGTTGTTAAAAGTAAGAATATTTAGCACTGTTATAAATAAGTTACAACAGTCATATAAATAACTTCAGATTTTCATGAATCTTGCCGGACCTTGTAAAGCTCTTTCTCAGATCACAGTCGTTATGAAACCCCTGATGGTTTGAAGAAAGCTTATGTGCCAAAAATTCCAGCCGGCAGTATCAATAGAGAAACTGGCTGGTAGTGTTTTCCTTTCTTTCCACTGGAGGCATCTTTTACCTAAAAACATAAACACTCCTGTTGCCACAGCTGCAGATTGTACTGCTGGAGCCTCTCTGCGGGTGGAATGGGGCCGCTCTGTTGTTTTGACTCATTAATCACACCAACCACAATGTAAGAAGTTCTCCCGACCACAATGTTACTTTCCAAAAAGAAATGTCTTTTTTCTGTCTCTGCAATTCCAAAATAAACTGACATATCAGGAGAACTGCAACATTTTAAGTTTTACTTTGCAGCACTGAATAATGAAGTCACTATGAACCATACAGTTTGATTAAAAAGAAGAGACTACACAGAAAGAGGAAGAGAGTAAAACTAAATAGTGCTAGAGTGAATTTCTATAGGTGTTTGTACAGCTTATAGTGCACAGCATATTATTAAACTCATAGTTTGTCTCCACCTAGTGGCTATTTGAAGGACATCTAGCATCTCCAGTAAATTCAGATGTCCTCCTCAGCACTGACCACAAGCACAATATCTCTTTACATAATTACAGTATCCCACATTGACTTAAGGGCTAAGGGCTTAATTACTTAATAGCAAAGAGCAGGGGAAATGTCTGACCATGCCCTCTATCTATGCTCTGAGCTACAGTTCAAAGGAAACAGTGTAGAAAGTGCTGTGCAGGTTACTTAAGAGGAAAATTTGGTTATAGTGATGCAGTTTCATATTTGGAGTTGGAGCGGATGCAATGGGAGGGAATTCGGAAGACTACTAACTTATCAAAAATGTATTTTCATGAGGTGAATGCTTTAAACCTTCAGTGAAAATGTATTTACTGCAAATAAACATTTTTTTTTTATAAAACTGGATCCGTTTAAGAAGGAAAAAAATGTGTTGTTGGCATAACATAACATAACATGGTCATCAAAATTAAACATGTTGCACATCTATTCTCCACCATATCATGCTTTAGTCTCCAAATAATTTCACCTATTTTGGGGATTTATCACTGTGAACCCCCCTGATGTCACACTGTATTCTCACTGTGCATATTTATTTATGTTTACTCTTTTTCTATTCTTGTTTTACTCTATTGATTTATATATTGTAGTTCAAATTTACACACTTAAAGCCTCAGCACAGTGATGGCATATATTTTATTTTTAATATTTTTAATATCTGAAGTACTAGCGTTAAACACTGGAGCATAGTTTACATTTTATTTTTATGTTTAATGCACATTTTCATTTCTATTTTATTTAATTGCTTTATATTTACATACTTCCATTTCATACTCTCATTCTTACTTCTTATAATTCTCTATTCTTTACATTGAGGCTACTTTAACGAATCAAAGTATGTCCGATTCCCGTTCTGATTCTGATCAGTCCAATTTATTTGTAAAACATGGCGTGTTGCAGATGAGTTTTGCAGTGTGTTTCATTTTAATTAACTTGTATTGAAGTCAAAGTGATCTCACAGAAAGACACTGACATAACTGCAATAAAAATCACTATATAAAACTTTATACCTCACTAATTATTTGCAGACCTTCAACAGTTCTCCTCGTAAAACCTCACGCTGATACTTGGCTTCACTGACTGGCAAAAAGGTCAGCAAGTGTCACTTGAATATTTGCTGCATCTCTATACAAAGGCACGAAAGATTAACTGTAATCCAACACTATGAGAAAACTAAAAAATCTGATCATTTGCATGAGATTAATTAAACAAAGTGGTTTGCATGGACTGGAGGAACAATGATGGCCAATCTTACTCTTTTGTTATCCTGTTTTGTTCACTCTAAGATCATAAAACATCAGGTATGGCATTTTACAAGAACACACAGGTGTTTAAGCAGTAACTCTGTATGTTACTACTTCTGTAAACTACTAACGAAATAAATGCTCGTCATCTAGAAAATGGTTCTGGCTTCAGCAGCACTGACCAATTTGCTGCTCCAAACTGGACCCACTGTTTATCTTCAACCTGGCCTATAACAGACCTTGTCAACAGCTGCAATGCTGTGGTGAACAACCACAATTATGTGGAGATGGAAGTGACAAGAAGCCGCCCTGCTGCCTCAGCAAAATGTCCTCCTTGTTCACATCCACAGCTCCAATTTCAGGCTTACTGTAGACACTGGTCAGGGGAGCAATGATAGGTTGAACAAGCCTACCTTTCAGATTGTGGCCTTGACGATCACTATGAGGGTGTCATCAGCACCAAAGGCTGCTTTGTGGATTGTAGCCATGGCTGTGGTGAACAAAATAACCAAGACGTCTTTGAGTTTTTAACTGACATATAGCAACATTCAAAATTTGGCAATGATTTTATGTGCAACCTTACCATAAACTTGAAGTTACATTCACAGTCACTCCTCTATCTGCGCAGGGAGAAGACAAAAGTGTAAAAAAGATGAAGATACATTTGGAGATTTAGCCTCCTTAGTAAGTTCTGCTAAATTGATTTATTAATAATCAATAGAAACTGTTGTGGAGCTCTAGTGATGGCAGTGTCGGAATTAGGTCAGCTTTGCTCGATTCTGTTGCTTCATTTATCCCGAGTCTCAGCCGAATTGGGCAACCGGACGTGGCCTGACTTATTTCTTCGGGCGTGCCAAGTTTGGAACAATGCTGGGCCAGATCATTTTTTGATGGCTTAATGATAGCAGTGTCGGCAGGCAGAATCAGGGCAGCTTATTTGGCCCAGTTCTGGGGCGTTATTCATGCAAAGTCTCAGCCGATTCAGGCAACTAGACTCAGCCTAACTTACTTCTTCCAGTGCACTGAGATTAGGCCGATGCTGGGTCTGATCATCTTTGGCTACCTGGGACATCTAAGTAAAGTATTCCTGGTGGTTGAATAATTTAAATGTTTAGAATATTTTCAAATCAGTATATGTAATGAAAAACCTGTATTTATAAAGTGTAAGGAGGACTTGGCTGCACACATGAAGGTCTTGCAGTATGGTAATTAAATTATTCAGACAGAAAATACTACATTTTGTCAGTGATATGTTACTCTGTAATGAAAACGGCAGTAGCTCAGTCTGGGGCAGCAGTAGCTCAGTCCATAGGGACTTGGGTTGGGAACCGGAGGGTCGCCTGTTCGAGTCCCCGTCCGGACCAAATATGGAGCGTGGACTGGTGGCTGGAGAGGTGCCAGTTCACCTCCTGGGCACTGCCGAGGTGCCCTTGAGCAAGGCACCGAACCCCCCCAACCGCTCAGGGCGCCCCACCAAGGGCAGCCCCCTCACTCTGACATCTCTCCACTTTGTGCATGTATAGGTCCTGTTTGTGCGTGTGTGTCTTTCAGACCTGTGTGTAATTGACAAGCAAGAGTGAAAACATTGAATTTCCCTCCTCAGGGGGATTAATAAAGTGAATTAACTTAACTTAATAAACTTAAAACCAAAACGTGTGTTATACTCATGTGCAGTAAAAGGCTACATTTTGAATTAAAAATATATCAAAAGTAAAACAATAGGCCCAGTGTTATTCTTTAAAGTGATGTTTGGAAGAACTGTTCTTTACTTATCAGGGAACGAGGGTGGCTGGGGCGTGCCTTTGTTTTTATTTATTTATTTTATTTCATTTTGACCCTACCTGAAGCTAAATATATTTTTCCTTGAGCCTCCCTGAGTGTGTGGTGGAAAATGCCTGACCCTCCATGCCCCCTCATAAAAATATATAGATTATAAATAAAAAGACAATATGACAGCTCCTCATAAGTGAAGCCAAAACATCTCAATCGCTCCCCCAAGTAGCTGGCTGCAGTGCAGGTCATAAAGCCCGCCCTTTCCATGTTAGTGGATAGTACATGGGCCAAAATAAAAACTCAATGCAAACATCAAATAAATTTTGCCCAAAAATGGTTTCTGTCATTTTGGGTAGTTTTTAACATGCTGCTGTATGTTCAAGTGCTTGTTTTTCTGGTTTTAAATAGTTATTGTACAACATGATTGACAACTGTGTGAGCCAATAGGTGGGCTCACATTCAGTGACACTGCTCGTCAGACGGGTGTATGGACGAGAAACATGATACCGTGGACATCGCTGTTGCGCAGACCCTGGCTCCAAATGATGTCACCAAAGCAAGATGGTAGCAGCTGTAACTGGGACATTTTGGCTTCATTTCTGTGCAGTGGTGGTAAGTGGAGACATGTTGTCAATCTTTATTTAAGCCCCCTTTCCACTGAGTAGTATGGTGCAGTTCAGTTCGTTATGCTTTTTTCCTGTTTCCACTGTGAAAAGTTGTGGTTGGTACCAATGGAACCGTTTCATACCATCACCATTTTTGGTCCCCCCTCTGTTGGGGTACCTAGCACACAGATCTTGTACTAAAAGGTGGAGCTGTGAACACTGCAGTCCGTTGATTGGTCAATAGCAGACAGTCACTTTGCTCGGAGCTGAGTTGTGGCTGGTTTTATGTAACCACTGTTCATACTGTGTAGAGTTTTATTGGTAAACTGTAAAATGTAAGGATGTTTTGCTGCTTCTTGCAGCAGCTGTAGTCGGAGAAAAAAATTATTTAATTCACTGGGCCGACTGCCGGCAACTTTTAGGGTCAAACATTAACTTCTAATGTTACACAATGCATGAGATGATGACATGAATCAATCAACACACCTTAAGTTTCACTGATAACTCTGACCATTACTTTAGTTTTTATATGACATACACTTTTAGTAATGAGTGGACCATCAATTGTTTATATATATTAATTTTGACCGGGTCATGTGAAAGGCATATATTCTAATCCTCACTTGGAGAAAAAAAAAGCATTGCAGAGCGTGTTCCTGTGGGCTACAGCAACACTAAACCCCTGAGCTTGCCTGAGTAGGACTAAATGCACAAACCTGATATTTCTAAATATCCCATCGACTGAGACTCTCACTGCAGCCTGTTTAATTTTGTTCTGAATATGTCGGCGTGCAGCCTTGTTCTGTGGATGAAAGACAAGGTGCAGACTTCTCTCTGTGTCACTGGTATATACAGTGAGTGCTGGATGGAGCAGTGAGTGACAACTGAACCATGTCTGAAGGGCTACTTTTGGTTCCAAAGGTACCATACTGAAAGTGTTTGGTGGAAATGGGGTTTTAGCCTGCAGTTTATGTTTTTTTTGTACAGTTTCTGGCTATGATAAATTGAGTAGTTTGGAAGGCATGCTTTCTTTAAAAATTGGTGGTAACATAAAAACAAAAAAAATTGAACCAATTAAATTTGTATGTACCTCCCTCAAGCCAAAATAAAGAACACAAGCCTACCCAGTGCTTAAAAATTGTTTCACACGCCTGCCCCTTTTTTTTGCACCACACCTCCCCCTTATAAGTAACGAACAGCCCCTTAATGGTAGCTCATTGTCAACTATTTTGTTTTTACATTTGCAATTTTTCTCTGTTTATATCATAAACATATGTTTATATTATATGTAACTCTAACGCTTTTAACACATTTTTTCTGTTTATATCGTATGTAACTCTAACACTCTTAACTAATGGAGAAAGAATAGTGTAGTTGCAGCCCTTGTGTTTACTAGCATGAGGCTCAGTGAGGCTCAGTGAGGCTCATTATAATAACCTAGAGACGGAGCTCTCCTCCCAGTCACAGATCTCCGCCCCAGTCATCTTGGACTACAGCTCGGAGCCCGGATGCGCCGCCATGCCGCCTCTATCAGCGAATGGAATAATTTATTCACCAACCTGCCTGACACTGGGCGACTAGGAGTTCACTGAAGAAGTCGACAACACAGTTTGGGGGGCAGAGGAGCCTTCACCGCGGACACACCATCGCGCCATACCCGCGTTGCGTTCACTTGCCTGCTCGCGCCGCCTGCCACCGTTGTATTGATGTAGGGACACTTGAGTGCTAGCTACGTAGCTAACGTTAGCTCGAGTCGAGAGAGTGCGCGGTAGTGACAGTCCGGCCGGAGGCGGGGAGAACTGAGAGGTGAGACTGTTACTTTGATGGTGACTACTCTGTTGACTGTACGCGTATAGGTGGCCATCTGCTAGGTAGTATCACTTTCATCCATGTGAGTCAGGGTTTTAGGGGGGTTCAGGCAGCAGCATATCGAGGTGGGTACTTGACTGTTTGTCTAATAACGGCTTTTTGGCCGGAGTGGAGCTGAACGTTTAGTCGACGTTTGGCCCGCGATAGAGAAGCTAGGAGCTAGCTTGCTAACTAGGTAACTGTCCAACACAGTCAGGGACTCCTAAACTTTTCAGGTCAGTAACCCCTGAGTAGACACGCTTCAGATGTCAGATACCCAACATGATAATGACGTAGCTTTAGGGACTGCATGTTAAACGTAGACTTTAGTTAATGCATTACTCAGTTAGGAAGTGACAGTGGAGAGTAAAGGGTTATCTGGTATTCATTTACTTCAACTGACCCTCATTTTTATGGTGCAGGTCCCTAGACTTGAGTTTGAGAGTTGTAGTGCAGGTATAAGTGACTTTAGATTGCAGCTCTGTGTCTGTGATTGCAGCAATAAGTGTGCATCTCATTCTGTGAAACATACCTCAGGTTTTGCATTTGACACATGTTCTCTCTGACTTTTAGATCCAGGAACATTTCCATGCCTGCATCGGCCCTGCCAACCAAAAGAGATGTCTGTTGACGAGGATACAGTGAAAACTGGAGGTCCACAGCCCAGCCCAGCATCATCTCTGCAGCTCTCAGAATGCACTGGAGGTTACAGCAATATATCTGTGATGGTGGAGGGTGCAGCAGCCACCCCTGATTTCGCAGCCGCTTGTCCTGTCTCAGGCACCACCGCAGCCTCACCAAAACACACCAGCACGACTGACGGGCTCACCCATTCAGATGATGCTGGACAGGGGGCCAGAGGGAACGAGAATAACATCAACCGCAGGAACAGCTTTCATCATTCCAAACAGCCGCAGCAAACAAAACTAACAAAGCGCCGCAACACAGCAAACTTTGGGTTCAAGCATCCAACGTCTGGCAAGAGGAGACGAAGGGCCAACTCTGAGAGTGACTCCGTCCTGCCAACCAACTTCCTCCTGGGTGGGAACATTTTTGACCCACTGAATCTCAACAGCCTGCTGGATGAGGATGTCAACAAGGCGCTCAATGCAGAGACACCCAAATCCTCCCCGCTGCCAGCGAAGAGTCGAGACCCTGTGGAGATCCTCATCCCACGAGACATCACAGATCCGCTGAACCTGAACAGCGGGATAGCAGACAGTAGCTTTTTGGTGTCCCCCTTTAAAAGTGGTGGCAGAAGGAGACACCGCAACAGACACCATGGAGGAGGAGGAGGTGGAGGTGGTGGTGGTGGGATTTCAACCTCACAGTTGAACCTCTCAGAATCAGGAAAAGGTGAGGTTAAAACTGGCACCTCTGCACCACTTCCAGGTATGTTAGCCTCATGTTCTGCACTAGACGTCTCCAAAGAGTCCAACAATTTCTCCAGTGTCACAGGGGATTCCCACGAGCACTCAGCCGACACCTCATCCAGCTTCAAGGAGGAGATGACGTCTGTATCAATGGAGGAGTCCACATCCTCCATATCGGGGGCACCAAACCAGCACACAAGCAGACGAAAGCGTAGGCGCAACTCTGGCAAAATTGAGCCCCCTGTGACCCATTCTACGCCAGTTGGAAAGTCAGGATCTGGAGACAGAAGTTGGGGTTCAGGGGGATCGAGAAATTCCCAGTCCTTCCACATACCAAGGAGTGGTCCCAGAACAGGGCCAGGAGGTCGCCAGCACCAGCAGTCCTACAACCAGGCGAAGGAGCATCAGAGGAAGAAGTTCCAGTATGGGAACTACAACAAGTATTATGGCTACCGCAACCCAGGTGCTAGTGAAGACGCACGGATACGTGTGCTTCAGCCAGAGTGGTTTGAAGGTAAAGATGTTCTGGATCTGGGGTGTAACTCAGGCCACCTAACACTCTATATTGCCAAAATGCTCAAACCTGCCCGCATATTGGGCCTGGATATTGACAATGCTCTGGTACATGCAGCCCGGAAAAACATCAGACATTATCTGTCTGAACTGCAGACCCAAGAGGCCAGGCATGCAATGCAGGAGAAAAAGAGCACCAAGCAGGAGGAGAGGAATGGAAATGGGAGTCTCACAGGCACAGACAAGAAGCACAATGAAGCCGCGAGCAGGGATGAAAACGGGACACCAGTGAAAGGAGAAAGTGGCCCTGCAGAGGCTGTAAATGACAATGACTGCTGTCACACAGATGAGGCAGGGACCCGGAGGCAGGATGACAAAACAGAGAAAATGGAGCAGGAGGATTGTGATTCACCCCCCACAGATCACTCTGTGAGCTGCTCTTTTCCTGTGTCACTACGCATCTCCAGGGGGCCCATTGCTGCACCTCCACTAACAGAAACACCCGCCACACGGCCCGGAGAGTTCCCCTCAAATGTGTCCTTCATCAAGGTAAGACGGCATTCTCTGGGTGATCATGTGGTGGCAGCATGAAGTTCCCGAATCATTATTGCTTGGGAGCTTAGATGAAGGTCAAAATAAAATCAGTATCTCACAATTAGGCACTGCCTGCGTTATATCTGCACCATATTCATTAAGACTTAGAAGCATGATGTAATGAAACCGGCCCTTGTAAACCATATTAAAACCCACCGAAAAAGCACTTGTTGGGAGAGAGGCTGCTTGGTACAAAAACACTCTGTGGTCTAACTGACTTCACAAGAGGATGTGACATAAGTTAGGTGCCCACTTATTCTCCTTGCATCCCGAAAATGTCAATGGTTTTGCCTCTAGATTAGGGATAGCATTGTCACAGCACAGTCTGTTCCATTATGGCATGCAGGTTGCACCATGTAGCCGATCTGGACAAGATGTATATGGTGTTCATTTTCCAGGGACATAGGAAAATGAATAGCATAGCACAGTTGACTATACATTTATTTATCTTTTATTATTTTACAGAGTCTTATAGATTTCACATTTAAAAAGACAAATCAAACATTTAATCAATCTTGAAGGACGTTTCTCCATGTTTGGATGACTGGGTGCGTTGTTGAAAAGTAAAATGAAATTGGGAATGTTAAGATACATTTGGGAAGCAATAGAAACCATAATAAATTAATTTATTTTTAATATACATGTCAATTTCTTGTTTTAAAATAGCTACTCTTCTCCTAGTCAAAAGGACACAGACTTCTCCATTCTTATAAGTTAATAAAGCAGTCATGTTGGCCATAAAATTTTAGGGTTAGATCCTTTAATAAGGAAGCATCTCCACCAGTTTGATTTTCTGAGTCACATGCGTTAGACTTAGTTTATCTTATCTTACCACTAGTTTGCCCACCGTTACATCTTTGCGTGTTGCACACCTTGTTGTATGCATCTCCAACCAGAGGCTCACTGTTCCCTGAAGCTGCAGATGATTTTGAGATGCAAAAGATGGAAAATAGAAAGAGCAGAGCAGCCTGTCCTTTTCAAGCATTTCTAACGTTATCGATTTATCGCACGCCAGCATTGTGTGAGACTTTGACACATCGCACAACAGCTTTTCTCTTTATAAATATAAAGCTTTCTCATCGAGCCTTTTTATTGTTCTAATTTCTATCAGAGTTTCCTCACTCCACTGGCCTTGTGCCTCACAGGCTCCGTGTAGGCAGCCACATGAATTGGTTAGATGCAGGAACCGTAGTGTTTGTTTCTGAATGAAATCGATAACTGCCTTCCTCCCTGCTACGAGCATTAGAGATAATGGCAGTGCAGCACAGAGCTTATCCTGTTTAATGAGTGAAAAGCCTCAAGACGAACGCCTGAGCCCCCTCAGCCTGTACAACACAGGATGGATTTGAGGGAGAAATGTCAGGATGTGTTGTTGTTTGACAAATCTACCGTGGTCTTAAGTTAGAGTGTGGGAAGCAAATTTAATCAAATACAGGAGGTGTTTTTTTTTTACTCCTCATCACCAAATTCTCATCAGTTCCCAAATTATTGAATAACCAAATACAGTTTGAGTCAGTAGGAGGAAAGCTTTGACTATTTATACCCTCTCTGTGATGGACCAAACCCCAGTTACTGCTAGTAACACCGTTGTTTTTCCTGATACTACATTCCAACATGTCTACTGTTGAAAAAGGTGTGTTCTGATAATCAAGTTTCCTAAACTTTGTTCCCAGCCTTCTTCACTTAAAATGGTGATCTGGATCAAATAACACTTTCCCTCTGTTTGTCCTCACCTCTGTTCTTTTGTCTTCTGTTCTGCTCTTTCAGCATCAATCTTGTGTATCAGTGTGTACTTGAGAAGTGGGAGCCAGCTAAAGTTTGGCATTTATGCTAGATGAATCACTTTAAGTCTTGCATCAATTATTACAACAAATCTGGGATTCTCTAAACACATGCTCTCATTATAATCCTGCAGCATTTGTAAGTCAAATGGTTTCACAGAGCAGCAGTAAAATTTGGTGGCTATGCTGTGTTTGTTCACATTGCATAGCCTTGCCTTCCTTTTTTAATCTATATAAGAGCCAAAGAGTCAGTATCACACAAATGCATCCTATTATAAATGTGCAATTTTGGGATTTTTACTCCCGTTTAAGACATTTTAATGAATGCCAATCAGATAAGATTTTGCAGATACCAGCTCTTAATCTGTGACCATGATCGTCATGAGTTTGTGTTTCAGTGAAAGTCTTTATTCCAGTCACAGTGCTGAGTAGCACTAAATAGTTTGCCCTGTCAAGTCAGTGTATTGTTTTTTTTTTTAACCGTGCCTCTCTTCTCCTTTAGGCCAATTATGTCCTGGAGAACGATAATCTTCTTTTGACTCAGCGGCCAGAGTACGACGTGATCATGTGCCTGAGCGTTACCAAATGGGTGCACCTGAACTGGGGAGACTGTGGCCTCAAGCGGCTCTTCAAGAGAGTTTACAGACATCTCCGTCCTGGAGGCATTTTCATCCTGGAGCCGCAGCCCTGGGAGTCATATGTGAGGAGGAAGAAGCTGACGGTAAGAGACTGAGAGGACACGTTCTGTTGTGATGCAAAGCAAAAATACAAGGGATTTTAAAGCTTGGTTTATTTGGCTGAAATATTTGTTTTCTCTTTTACTTTACAGGATAATATTAGCAGGAATTTTTACAACATCCGCCTCAAACCTGACCAGTTTTCGTCGTACCTTACAACAGAGGTGGGCTTCACCAGTTCTGAGTACCTTGGGGCCCCCAAGTGTTCAATAAGAGGTAATTCACTAATTGTTCACAACACATTTATGCACTACACAATATTCACCACTGAAGCTTGACGTCAATTTCAAATCTTTTCCCATCACAACAGGTTTTCAGAGGCCAATCTACTTATTTCACAAATGACCGCTCCTGCCTTGAAGATCATTGAATGTGAGTAGGCTAAGCCACCACCATACACACAAGCCAGCCAGCTGCCCTGGACTGCAAGGAACTATCTGAGTCCTTCACAGTTAACTCCAGCTTTTCAGATGCTGAAGATGAAATTCAGAAAAGGAGAACGGGACCAAAAGTGGAATTAATTTTGTAGAGATCTGATGAGGAAGAGGCGCTTATCAGAAGCCTCCGTGTCGGCAAATTCTTAAAGAGTATGGAGTGAACTCAGATCGAACTCCACTATGTATAACCTGGAGCCAAACGTCACAGCTTGGCCGGACGGTGGAAGAGGTGATCGTTTTCTTGGACTATCCCCAGTGCTAATGATGCTCCAGTTTGATGCACGGCCATAATGTGTTTGAAAATCTTTGGCCATATATCTTTACTTTCATGACTTTGTTCTGTGCCACCTCATCACTACACATGATACTTATTAGGGTTGGACGATAGGGGAGGCTTTTCCAATTGGCAGCCGTCACCACTTTAACTACATTGTGTGTTGCACTTGCAAAAACCGCAGTGTACTACTGGATTATAAAGCCATTAAACAGGTCGTACTGACATGATGTCTCCTGAAAAGCCACAGCGGAGTGCAGGTAATGTGTTTTATGCTGTGCAGGCTATTGAAGCCTCACATTGCCAGCTCCATTGCAGCTACCGATGACATCGAAATTGTGCTCTTAGTGGTTAAATATGTGCATCATGGTCGCAGCCTTGAATCCCGTTGTGGCAGACATATAACTGCACATTCTGTGGTGACTTAAACGCAGCCAAACGAATTCCATCAGCCATAGATTCAGTCCATAGCTGATGTATTCGTCCTATCTCCAAACCCTAATATACAGTTTGTTTTGTCATTATTTTGCAAAATAGGCCTTAGAGCTGAACGTGCTTTAATCTGGTACAGAACTGTGACAATGTGAGTCCATATTTTGGAATGGGCGATATGGAAAGCTAAATTGCACAAAGCTAAGATGCTATGAAGTGAATATGAAGTGAAAAGGGGCGTGTTGAAGAGATGAAGACGATGCAAGGGTTAGAAAGGTGCACTTGAAACAGCCAAAACCACAACTAACAAATGAAATACTGCACGTTTACCCACGGCACAGCTAAGATCCTTTCAAGATATTGTCTCTTTTTTTTTTTTTTAGTAACAGCTGGTTCCTTAAAAACTGTCGAGATGAATGAAGATGAAGTCATCACATATTAGATTCTGTCATTAACACATGGAGACAGTATTTAGTTTTAGTAGGCATACTACTGCCGGGACAAACTAGTGTGGTACTTCAAACCCAATTTCAGAGCCCATTGGCTTTCAGTCTGACAACAATTAAACCCCTGGCGGCAATGGCCAATATTTTGGGGGTTCCACGGTAGCCAGTCAATATCTGGGCCAAGACTTCCTCCTCCAACCCTGTTATAGTTTACCATTTTTTATAAACAGATAGATGCATATAATTCCTTGTCAGTCGGATGGGCTCCACATTTTACCCAGTGCGTTCCGCCTCTTTTGCTTCTCACATGACGCCTGCTCAAACCTTATCGTTAAATACTAATCAAACTACAATCAGAAACCAGAATGCTTCCACTACCAAAATCTTGTCCTGCTGCACACAGATTCTGAGTACATATTCAGATATATGTTTATAGACACTACCTTCAACCTGACATCAGCTAAGTGCAAGTTAAAAAAATCAGATTGTTTTCAAGAAAAGAATTTTGGCTGTTTTGAATGCAAACTTTCTACAAACCTTCAGACCTGTGTAATTTACTTTATTTGGATAAGTCTTTCAGGAAGCGACAAATCACTTCATGGGTCCTTTAAAGCCTTTTTGATGCTCCATCCCAATGGTAGGGGGCACATTTGAGCTGCGCAGACACCCAGGTGTTGGCTCAGCTCAAGATAATTCAGCACACAAACCATGAGGACTATTTTGCAAGGTAGATCTGTAGCATGCAGTGATCTATTTTTTGTTTTCAATGACAGTTAAGCCATAGCCCTACCTTATATGTTGTTTACAATGTCTACAATGACTGAAAGTATAATGGAGGGTGTGATTTAAGGCAGAGGCCTGCTATCAGAGAGTTGCTACAGTGTCTTCAGTGCTGTATAAATCCGACACATGCATTGTTTTGTGTGGTCCGATCGTCACTGCTGGACAGGCATTAATTCAAACAGCATCAGAGTTACATTCAAGCTCCTGAGTTGGACTCAACTTCTGTAAAGCTGAATTAAAATTTACATTTGTAGAAAATAAATTGCTACAGAAAATAAATTGCTACAAAATGGACTAAGATATATTAATGAATTTTTACCAAATTTAAATATGAAAATGCTGTTTGTATTGAAGCGCTGCCAAAATATTTTATGGGTCTTTTGCTCTTGAATTTGACAGAATATGCCATCATCATCTTTGTCTTTGGCCTAACAAGGACAGCTATAAGTTACAGGCAGTCTTTGTGATTGTATCTTTACTGGTGTGCACTGAGCAACACTCGTCTACAACCTTTCATTCTGTGGCTGGGACTGAAACCTTTTTTTTTTTTTTTTTTTTTAACGACAGGTTCAATTACAGCATTTGGCGTAGTAGAATAGACAATGGCGAAGATGGATGATTTATGTTTCTATTTTAGTAAATGATCAGTGTAAATAAGTTTGCAAATTTTGTTTTACTGTTGTCAATATTGAGTTCAAAACTGCTTTTGTCGTTTTACAGTGGGGTTTTTGTTTTGTTTTTTTGTCTTGTTTTGAAATGTTTGCTGCCAATTTGTGAGCGAGTCAGAGTTTTTGTCCCAAAGCGGACCCGCTAATCCAGCTCTGTAACAACAAATAATTATAGCAACGTTCTGATGTGTTTTGCTTTGTTCTGTCCTGGCAGGCACACGGATTGTCAGATTGGCTCTTTATTTTTTTATAAACTGTTTGAAAGGAGTGTTGTTGTCGATGCACTCTCATTTCACTTCATTTGACGTGTTATAGAGATTTTAAATTTCTTCAAAGTAGAAAAAAAATTTGAATACTTTTTCCATCAGACTTTTTTGTAACAAGTTGTGGAACACTGATTAACCTATAAAATGAAGCTTCAGGTGACATTTTGATTTGAAAGAGAACTGGCTTCGACGTCAGTCATCCCGTTGGACACGGGGCACCAAATCACACCTTTCTCCTAAGCTAAGACAATCGGACTCTCAGGCTTAGATCAGCCCACTGCTGTAATTTCAAGGGCATTTTGCTTTTTCTTTGTTGAGTTTTTTATTTGGGAAAATTTTAAAGTTTGTGCTGTGCCACCAATGTGAAAGATTGCACCTTATTGTCTCAGCGGCACCATCTGACAGATTTGAACCCAACAGGCCAGGTATCCAAGTTACGGCATGTCTTTGCTGGAGATGTGAAATTGCATGTTGTCATATGTAGTGCTGTATGAACTTTTCATACTCCCCTTGAGGTTTTGCACAAAGTGGTGCGAAGTCAGTGTGATGTTCATTTTTATTAGATGAAATTGCACACAAATTTGGGTGTAAGAAATAAAACACCCCTTGTTTCAACACAGTTTAATGCTAGTGAAAAATACTATGATGCACAGATCTTATACTCATGTTATTGTAGCTTACAACACAATATTGTGCAATATTTGCTCTTTAAAGGTGTAATTATGTCCTTAAAGGCAGCAAAAATCACCACTTTATCATTGGAATAAATGTTGTAATGCGGGTTGGTTTAAAATTAAGACAACCTGAGTGTAGTTTTGGACGTGAAAACTGGGTCCAAGTTTTCATGTTGCAAAGAAAACCAGAAGTAAACATGACAAACATTGCAGTGAAAGCACAGCCTGTTGTATTTTCTTTTATTATTTTTTTATGGTTATGTATTTAAATGATTTTTATTTGCAACTTGAAGACAGAGGACCCATTTCAAGAAGTGGATTTGATGAATTACAGCATTTGGTTATGTGGCTTTCACCATACACTACGCTCACATTTTCTAAATTTCAGCTCATCCTCTGAAATCCCAGAGATTGTTTTTAGCATCAGAGCAATCTTCAGTGGTAGCTCATCTCTAAAACCTGTGGCTACGGCCTGATTATAAGATCTGAGCAGTATAAGCAATGAAATACTGATAATAGGTTTTGTCAGAAATACCATAAAGACCTGATAAGACAATAGTTAGTTAGCTCTGCATAGCTGCTTCGCATTTATTAGGTTTTCTAGGATAATAGTACCTAAAATTATTCTACAACTAAAATGAAACACCTACGAAAATCTCTTCTAGTGCAAAAATGCATAAACTCAAGGGGTGTATGATTTTTAATGGCACTGAACTTCACCTCTTCATGTTGAATCTGCACTGATGCGACTCGAGGGAATTAGTACATTTTTTTGCAGTTACAGTTGATGTTTTACATGTACCTTAACTTTCCTAGAATCAGTTTTCTGGAAAAACTGTTGGAATAAAATCGCCCCTCTGTCAGGGAAGCTCTGAATTTTCATGCCTCTGAACAACAAGATATATCTGAATGTTTCTCTGTGTTTAACATTTTAATTGATTAAAAGTGGTTCCAGATTTGGTGGTTTAAGTATTTGCTTACACAACACCAATGTTATTTAACTGAAATTGATTTTTGGGTGGAAGCATGTACAGACATCAAGGTGTCGTCATAGTTAACAAATTTTACAGTGGTTTTGTTAGGCTGCCATCATATTAGTTGTGTCAGCTTTTTCACATTTTGCTGCTCGAGTAAGCAACAAGTAGTGAGCACTGGTGGTCTGCACATAGGTGTTCTTACTGAGGAGATCATCGCAGCATCTGTAAAGAGGTTAGTAACCCACTTTGCAGGAAGTGGTGAGATAAAAGTGAATCCATCCCTTCAGGTGGAAACAGGTCAGGTTGATTTATGTCACCTGGAGAGATTTTTTTTTTTTACGCATGTGGGGAGTGAAGCCCGGTGAAGTATTACTGTATGTTTTCTGGCTGCTGCTGTATATAGCATGCAGCATATGCTCCCCTTTAAAAGTCTGCAGGATTCTCAAAGACTAGAAGTCAGATCCACAGTTATTATTGTGTGTATGTATGGATTATAATTGAGCCAAAAGTGAACACAATACTTATTCAAATATGCTGCACTACTCTAACTTGCAAGGAAGGGTGCGGAAACATTTGGTATACGCTGAGATGACAAGACCCAATGGTCCCCTCTAATAGAGCTTTAAGGAGCTTCTGTTAGTGAGCTTGCTAAAAGGACATGTCTGCAGTGCTCCATTAATCACGCTGTCATGGATATAAGAGTAATAGGCTTATGACATCATACCTAGATCTTGTATAGTGGAACTTAATGGGCCCTAAGAGTGTGAGGAAAACCATTCTCTGGTTTGACTAAACAAAACTTCAACTCTACCCTGAATTTAGCTCTGATGGAATATAGTGTTGGCAGCGTCACAAGTGATACCTCTCAACTGCAAGGTCTAGGACAGTGGTTCCCAACTGGTGGGTCACGGGTCCATTCTGAATGGACCTCAAGTGATTCGCAAATTTGTCAAGTTTGTAAAAAACACACTTTATTTTTAAGTACGGTGAATTCCTTGCATAGAGATTTTATTTTGAAGTGCCGCTTCCTGCTGTAGAGTGAGTGACTTACAGACAGCTACTTGACAGAGACAGCACGCTAGTTTGACGACATGTCTAAACACAAGTACGATGCTGAATGTATGAAACTGTGTGGACTTTGAAGTAACGGCTAAGGGGAAATCTGGACAACGTCCCTGGACCAGTTGGGAACCACTGGTCTAGAAGACTTGTCAAGGGACCTGTTGAGCTTATTTTCAGGTTTATGCATGTGTTTAGTTTTCCTGACATTAGCATGTAGCTACATGTAATAATATAACATTTTATTCTTAAGTGGCTCTCAAGACGCCTAAGGACACTTTACAAAACTGGATAAGACAGTCAGTACATGATAAAAGTTGATAAGCAATAACAAAGCAACAACAGCAGATAAAAATAACATAATATTCATAAAACATATTTTGAAACACTAGGAAAGGTTTTTCTAAAAGATGAGTTTTCAGTTGCGACTTAAAGGAAGACACCAATGTGCACTGACGCAGACCCTGAGGAAGAGTATTCCACAGATTAGGGTCAGCTACACTAAAGGCCCTGTCACCCACAGTACGGAGACTGGAAGGGGGAATCGAGAGTAAGTGCGCATCAGAGGAACTGAGTGAACGAGGAGGTGTGTAGGAATGGAGAAGATTGGAAATGTAGGGCAGCGCCATGCCACGGAGAGATTTAAAGATGTGTAGTAGTGTACTTGCAGCAAGGGAATGACTGTAACAGGAGTATAGCAATACTTTCTACCATGAAAATTCAGACATGTTTGTATGTTCCTGCAGGAATTCAGTATAATGATTACATACTTCTCTAATGTCAGCATGTTTCTACATGTAGCAGTGTAGGCTAGGTAATGTAAACATTTATAGTAGCGAGCCTGGAACAAATGACCATATCAAGAAATTGATTATACAATGACGTTACCTTGTTTCGAAAGCAGAAAAAAACATTGGTTATTGTAGCCTATTCAGAGTGGTATATGAAGCCTGAGGTCTTTGCTCACAGGGAATACTTTTACACATTTACCTCATTATTTGTAACTCTGGCCATGTTTAACGTCAACATCCGACACTATAATATATGTGTATACAACAGAAAATAAGTAAAAGCAAAATGTTGTCTAGAGTAACTTCGGCAAATGATAAATTCATCAGTGTGCACCCAGGTGAGAATAGTCACGCTGCAGCTATTTGGCTATGACGCATTATAATGGATCCCACTGCGTACTGTGATGGGCCAGTACTTGTCAGGCTGACACATCAAGGTCAGAAGGTCGTGGTTAGGGCTAGTACAAGCCAATCTTGTATAGTCCCTGAGATTAAAGTGGTCAATTTATCTTAGCATAGTTAGATTAATATTTTCAGTTTTTAGTATGTGTAAAGCTGCTGAATTCACACTGTGTAAATACATTTTATTAGAATAGCTAGCCTTGGCATTGTTAGGACACCCAGGAACGTACACTTGGGTATAAATAGCCACATTGGTTGCTTACACCCTGGGTGTAAAGAGCATTGCTTGCTGTGGGTGCTGGGTGCTAAGAGCATCTGCCTAAATTCATATTGTATACTAAGTTTGGGAATGTAGTATTATGAGATCATTATATTCACATTTACCTAACATAAAAAGACACATATATATGAAATACATTCTCAATGTCAAGTGTTGGCTCTTTGATTTTCCATCTAATGAACAATTTCTCATTACAGTTACCATTTTATTTGGGTAGGACACTCAGATTTGAGGACCTGCGCCCCCAACCAGGGCTCATATTACTGTGGCTCTTACTCAGGCCGCAGTGCAAAGGTCATAATTACCTGCTAGCATCAGAATATATTTATGATTAGTTTGTCTTTAACTTATATAAGCACCTGCAGCATCTTCACAGCCCAGTTTCTTCACTGTAAAAACTATATATGCTGTGACAGTTTTAAAAAAATCCATCCTGTACTAACTTTGTTTTGTTGTGAAGACAGACAGCCTCGTGTAAACAGGTTTGTGTCGGGTTACCCCTTTGTGGTTAGGTCACGCTGCGCCTGTCTGAATAACACAAAGATTCCACCTAGATGACAATGCAGAGCACAATACAGAGGCTCCTGTTTACAAATAGCATCCATGCCTTTAGCACCTACGTGCCCGGACCAGTCATCAACCATCTTCAGATCCTGGTCCAGTTAAATCTAGTACATTCAGTAACCAGAGGGATAATAAAATGTTTAAATCATAGAGTTAATAAATGTAATTATTTCATTATTTAACAGGACTTGTTGTTGTCCAGTAGTGGTGTTACCTCAAACAGGCGAGTATACTTGTTTTCAGCTGACAGCCATGATGCCTCCTGAAATAAATAAATAAATAAAAGCCAAAGTTCACCAACACAGATATTTGACCTTCCAATCCTTGATAGGCAGACAATGCGACAATGAATTTGCTTTGCAGTCGTGACTGGCGGATTGTGGCGTTGTCCGTCTGTTCCAGACAGTGTTGTCCAGACAGACATACAGACAGACAGACAGAATGGTGAGATAACATAAACACAGACAAGAGACATAACACTTCATTCACAAAAGCTCTATTCCATCACAGCTATTTGGGTCAGTCACTTGACCATTATTGTGTCCTGTCAGTTCAGCGCTGAGCAAAAAGCATGCCAGACTCGACTCAGACTGCTTTCCATGCTGTTATTTCCCTAAGGTCAAACCAGATGGGTAATGGGGCTGCACATAGACGTGTTAACACCATATTTGGATGTTTTTCAAATGTAAAGTGAAAGATTGCTTTACGCTATTTGGGACAGCATGATTAAAATAGTGAATAGTGATGATTATCTTAACTAAACAGCAACAAATCAAAACATTAGCAAATTTATTTTCATGCATTTATTGGCAACACTGCATTTCAGAGAGTACAACTGACTGTTCACAAAGGAGTGGTTATAAATGTTATTAAAGGTGAGATACAGGATCAAGCAACAGTTACACATCTGCTGCACATCTAGCTGTGAATAAGTCAGGTCTAACTAGTTGAAGTCCACTTCCAAAGCACTCATTGTCACATCCCACAGCGTGTTAGAAGTCCAAGAGGTGTCGATTGAGAGTAAGGTTGTTGAAATGGGTTATCCGGAAGAGCGCCGTCGTCAGTTACCTGGAGATGTCAGCCCTCATGCTGGTGCATGCAGGTGCTAAGACCGCACAGCACAGCATCTGAAAATGAGCACAGTGCAACTTAAGTTAACCTCACAATTAGCAGTCATTTCCAAAGTTTTGTCTTCGGCACAGGCCTACCTGTATCTCCGAGGGCAACCGTGATGACCAACGATGTACTCCTGGGCATGGCAGAACCGTCTGCAGAGTCCTCTATACCCACATGTCCAATACTGCATTTCTGGATCATTGCCTGCAGAAAATTATAAAAGAATCACATATATTTTTCCATGTTCCTGATGACTTGTTGACCTTTTTTCATTATCACAATAAATCAATCTTAAAAAGAAGTTAGCACAACTGTAATTACTTTCATGGTTAACAAAACTGTCAAGCTGTGATTTCACTATTCTGTTTCACGTCTCCTCTGAGCCACACAAACAAGCCCGGTAATGAGTGCAGCAGTGTAGCTGGAGCATTTTGACACACCATGATTCACTTGATCAGACCTCACACAGTAAGAAAAATTGGTGTATCCATCAATGCTTACCCTCCCCGACGGCGAGCATCAGGAGAAGCACGAGGAGAACCAAGCTCAGTCCCTTCATGTTTTGGTACCAATAAGCTTTCAGACAGTGTTGTTGACAGGCTGATGCTGCATTTATACAGCATTTCAACCACGGGGGAGGAGTCCGTCCTGCTCTGTCCAAATCACAATAACAAAGTATCACTGAATGATCCCAGTCTGAGGGCTGAAGGTCAGGACTATCAGCTTACTCAGCTCACTCAACCGCCCCAGCTTCTTGAGAATTAAGATTGCTTTTATGCATTTTACAAAAAAACATGCTGTTATTTTTTGTGCTAAGTGTACAGAGCAAAACTTTATTATTCAAACTGCTCTGTGTTTTGGAGATACTGTGAATGATCTATACTGTTCACCAACACAAAATGAAACAGGGACAGCTGTTTGGTTTTGTACTTACATACATAAGGACTCCTTCAAAAGAGCAAGCCCTCCAAAAGTTATAATTATAGGTGAAATACTGACTAATTGTTTTAGACACAGTAAGCAGTACAATTCTGTCTGTCCTGCTGTGTTTTCACTGCTGCCCTCTGTTCGACCACTGCTCTGCCCACATCTGAATATGGCAGTAGTTGGTGTGTTATTGCTGATGCTGTGAAACTACAATCAAACAGCACAAAACACGCTGCTCCAGTGACACAGGGGAGGATTGTTAACAATACAATAACAACACAAGGCACAGACACACAGATATGTACTTGTGTAGCATGCCCCCTAGTGCATACATAGAGATGTTTGCTTGCTTGTTTATTCTCTCTCAGACACACATATGTACAGATGAACCACCTTAAGGGGACAAATCATGATCCAGTCTGTGATTATTCAGTCTAAAGGATGTTTTTACAGCTGTATTTGTTTGGGCCTGGTCAAAAAAACAGGAGGAGGCTAGTACTGTGCTCAGCATCAGAATAAAGCACAGGGCAATGAACAACCTGCTAAATTTAAAAGCACTTTGCCTTCTTCAAGCTTTCCCATCTCAAATCCCATGACTGCACATGTGTCATTAAAATATAAAAAAGATATATTACTTTCTTATTAAATTATAAAAGTGATTAAAACGAATTATTAAAATATATTATTATTACTAACATATATCATTGCTTTCTATTTTTAATTTATTTCATTTTATTTTATTTCATTTTTGGAAATTTTGTAAAAATGTGATTAATTTCAAAGTAATGTAGAAATTATTAATCTATTTATTTATTTATTTTGCCAGTGGATGACCTACAGAATGCTGATTTAAGGTTACTGTAAAATTTAAAATAAATTTTAAAAAATGCTTATAGACGTGTTAGAAGTAAAAGTCCTACATTCAAAATCTTACTTAAGTAAAAATGCACAAGTATTAGCAACAAATTGTACTTAAAGTATCAAAAGTAAAAGTATTTATTTTGGAAAATATGCCTACTCAAAGTGCTGCATTTATTATACACATATTTTTATTGGATTTTACTCCTAATTCATAATCCATTTGCATCTGAATGTTGTCAATGCATATTTTATAAAAACAGACATATAAAATGTTGATCCGGAAAGTAATTAGTAATAAATGCTATCAGATAAATGAAATGGAGTATAAAGTAGCCCATAATATTAATCTTTGAATGACAGTAGAGAAGAAGTGTAAAGCAGGTGGTAGCAGGCAGTAGCTTAGCCCATAGGGACTTGGGTTGGGAACCAGAGGGTCGCCAGATCAAGTCCCTGTCTAGACCAAATATGAAATGGTAGTTGGAGAGGTGCCAGTATGCCTCCTAGGCAGTGCTGAGGTGCCCTTGAGCAAGGCACTGAACCCCCAGCTCCTTGGGGCACCTGTCCATGGGCAGCCCCCTTGCTCTGACATATCTCCATTTGATGCTTGTATAAGTCCTGTTTGTGCATGTGTGTGTATTTTGGGCCTGTGTGTATATGACAACAGAGGGAAAAAATTGAATTTCCCCTAGGAGATTAATGAAATATATCTTCTTCTTATATAATATAAATACTCAAGTTAAGTTAAAGTGTTTTTGTACTTAAGTACAATAGGCTACTTGAGTATTTAAACTTAGTTTCACTCCACCACTATACCTCTCTGGTACACAGGGTGGCAGTGGATATTTTACATGCTGGTTTTTCAACACAGCAAAGAAAAACTCTGCTCATCTAGAAAAGGACACTGTACTCTGAACAGCTCACTTCACATCCTTCACATTACAGGGAAGCATCCAACTGGTTTCTGAGATCATTGCCAGGTACCACAAACTGTACAGCATGTGCTTGTTAGTTGCAGAAAATATGTATCAGAGAGAAATGACATGATGGAAGAAAATGAAAGGGTTAGTGCAAACAGGAGCAGGAGTAAAGAACACATTGGAATGTGGTGGAATGTAAGGCCCAATAATATAATAATTTCCAGAAAATGTAATAAAACCAATGATGTAATAACTTGACCAATAATGTTATAAAATATCCTGAATGATACTTTAATAACATAACAAAGAACTGTGCCATAAACTTAAGTGGAATCACATATCTAACCCAAACCAAAATGCATATCGAAGCAGTATTGGTATAACAACGGGTCAATGTTACAAGATCTATAGTTAATAGAGCTCTACCCATTTCCTGCTTGTTGTTTCCTTCCCAAACTATTAAGGGAGTTCACTTGTACCATTTGACTGTATTTATTTACACAAGATATTTATTAGGTTTATATTTAGGTCTGTTAACTCCCCTCTACACAAAATTTCATAAGATCAGGTGAGGCAAGGGAGACATTTCATTCATAATAATCACTGGTGACTCAGAAGACTAAGAACATTTCATGGACATTAAATCAACCATTTTCCTTTCATTGCTCACTTGTGTAACATCAGCAAACTATTGCAGATTTAGTCATCTTCTGATAGTGTCTAATCTATGAGCCACTTTGTTCTAATAGAGGATCCTTGCACAATGACACAATCAGCATTTAGCATGGTTCATTTCCCACTGATAGGGCTTTTAGTTTAATGCATCTTTGCCTGCTAACAATATACCATTTACCATCTACTGTAAATTTCAAATTCTACATAAAGCCTAAAGTTTACATTTTCCAACATGAAATCAGTGTCACGTTATTTTTTTTATTAGCTAATATGACACTAATAGCATTATACATTTTGCACACTTGTACATTTCTGAATTAAAAAAGCATACTTCTTTTCATTATTACATTATCTGTTAAAATGATTACATCATTCGTTTCATTTTTGTAAAAATGTTATTACAATATCAGTCAAGACGTTTTATCATATTTTTGGTCAAGTTATTATATTATTGTGTTTTATTACATTTTAGGGGACTTTAAGTGCAACTTTTACAACATTTTCAGGTGTTTTTATATTTTTAGAAGCTTATTACATTATTGGATGCTACATATAAGTAGATAGGGCAGAAGATGCTTGTTCATGATGAAGCTCTAGACACTGCAGGAGTTAACTATCTCCAGAAGATTGCAGCACTATGGATACAAGCTGCTGTAAAAACCCAACGAAGAAGACTCTGATCATCTGCGCCTGCGCAAGTCGTACAGCTGCAGCCGATAACAACAACAGTCTGGACGGTGTGCCCTATCATTCCAAGATGGCGGACCTCCTAGGCTCAATCTTAAACTCAATGGAAAAACCTCCAACAGTCGGCGACCAGGAAAGCCGACGAAAGGCTCGAGGTACAAAATGTTAACCTAAATAACGACTCGTTTCGTGTTAGTTTGAAACGGATTAAACTGATTAAATACGGGACTTAGACGTGTGTGAAAATTAGAAGGACAGGCGAAGAGGGCATTTCTGGTGCTGCCATTGGACGGTTGAGCTTTCAAGTAAGCCCCGTTGGCCCGGGTTCAGCACCGCATGTGCTGCAGTCTGTCTGCCGCTGAGGTCAGAGTCTGGACTGGTGTTGATGTGGGAAATGAAGTTTTCAGAAGCACTACTGAAAATGGTTCACTGTTTTCGAAGCAGTCAAAATGGCGATATAGATCCGCTGGCCAGCTCCTTAATGTGTCTTTATGGATTAAATCTGAGCGCATGCTCTAACAGTGAGAATACAGGTGGCTCTGCTGTTACTGTAAAACCTGCTGAAAGCTCTCAGTAAACAACCAGCACTGTTTTATCTGCTACAGCCTCCTGGATGTTGACATAGAAAACAAGTTACCTCTGAGTATTCACAGCCCTCTGCCTTTAGATATCATTTTCTTGTAAGCCCCTGTTATTTCCATTGAGTATCAGTTTTAGCCACCTCCTCTTTATTTAATTTACTATTAGCTCAGGCTATGGGCATTTTAGTCAATAACAGTAGATAAAAGTTAATAATATAAATACTATTTGTACATAATTCCTATATTTGTTCATGCATAGTGATAAATATTATAGACAGATAGTGTTGGGAAGGTTACTTTTGAAATGTAATAGGTTACAGATTATTAGTTACCCTGATGAGACTTATAAAAAGTAATGTAACATTATATTTGGTTACTTTTGGATCCCTTTTCTAACAAATGCTTTAAACTGGGCAACAAAGCTGAAAAGTCCTAAAACCATAGTTCATAAACAGCTTTGCTAACCCACGTTGCCCAGAAATATGCCGAAAGACGGCATTCCTGCGCAGCAAAAGATGACAAAAAACAACAAACTAAATGAATGTTATATTCTAAATATAAGGTTTTTATTGAAAATAATATATTTGGGTATAAGCCCTTTGTAGTCAGCAACATTTTGATAAGTAACTGTTATTTGATTACATCATTTTGTTCTCAGTAACTAACAGATTGCAACTTCCATTTATTTTGTAATTTAATTACGTAACTATGCTACACGTGACACTGATGGATTGATGGTAAACCCAAAGCAACATCTTTACCTTAATGCTCCAATTCAAAATACATTTTGGAAAACATTATAATATTTCCTGTTTGCAGATCTCATGTGAAAACTATACTTCATGGGAGCCCAGTTCAGGATTTAAATTCTGGCAATGCTGAGTGGAGCGTGGCTGCAGCTAAACAAACGTCATCCAATGTTCAGTTGTTGTGAAGACATAACCACAAGACGGCGGTGATAAAAACTGACCAAATCCGTTTCATTAACTGTTATGAGTATGCCTACCAATAAAACATCAGAGGCTGTTTGCCTGTAGACACATGCAACAAATAATGGGATTTGAGTCACTCTGTTACTTGCCCTCAATGATCTGGAAATGTGGTTTTGGGATTACAGGAAGTCTGTCTCTTGATTAGGCTTTTTGCGATTTAAGTCTTAAAAAGAATATGAGAAGGCCGGTTGTTGCTGTAAGCCTACGTGATCTGTGTTTACAACGGAAAGTTTTAATGCTATCGGACACAAACAAACCACATGAAGACTTTAAATTCTGTCCTTTTTTAAGAGCAAGCAGCACGACTCAAGAAGATGGAGGAAGACGAGAAAAGAAAGAAAGCAGAGTTCAGGAAAAAGGTGAGAGCTTGGGTGTCACATCTAAAACACACTGACTGTACTGCACTGTTAGTATTTATCACATGCAGAATCACGGACTGTGCCTCCCTGTATCTCTTCTTTAGATGGAGAAACAAGTGTCGGATTTCATTCAAGACAGTTCACAACAGAAACAAAAGTACAATCCTATGGGGAAGATTGAAAGGAGTATATTGTAAGTAGTGATTACTGCGGATGATGAGCTCCTTTGTGGAATAAACATGACATGTTTCGACACAGGCTAACAGCTATTTACATGTCATTCCTCCCTGTCTCACAGGCATGATGTTGCAGAAGTGGCAGGTCTGACTTCTTTTTCTTTTGGAGAGGATGAGGAGAGTCGTTATGTCATGCTTTTCAAGAAGGTTTGGATACTTTGTTGTTTAATCCAGTTTTAGATATCAAAGTAATGTGAGGAAATGTGACTAATTTCCACCTTGTGCTGTGGCAGGAGTTTGCTCCGTCGGACGAGGAGCTGGAAGCCTATCGCAAAGGAGAGGAGTGGGATCCCAAGCTGGCAGAGCAGCGGCGCAGATTAAAAGTAAGAGTGGATGCTCACAAAGCATCACTTTAACAGATTTAAGCTGGCAATGTTACATATTCAATGTCTGAAAAGGGGCTGAATACATACAAAGAAGTCTCATTACTATTATCAAGCAGCAGTGTCAAAATTGACGTCATGAGACATTTATGCTTTTAATTATCTTATTTATTTATAACGTTCTTACATTCAGACAGATATTATTATACATTTCCTGACTTAAGAGGAAGTGGTTCTCTGTAGAGCTGCAATTTTGTACAGATGTTGAACACTCATACGGGGAGTAAGGAAAACTGATCATGAAAAAACACCAATTTCAAATTAAGAAATGCAATTATATGACATGCTGTGTGTTCAGGATAGTGCCCCGACTTAGATTGAATTAATCAGAAAAGTTTGTCCTTGGCCACGGGTATCATTTTATCATGTTCTACTTCAAATTCTGCACATACAGTATGATTACATTCTTTGTATAACTGTTTCATCCTTAATGTCTATTCTCTAGTTTTACACCGATTGCATGTTCCCATCCATAGTCTGACTTGCCAGTTGTAGACTGGCTATAAGCCTGCCATTGGGTCGCTGATTTTGACTGGCATTTTTTCTTCCCTCTGCTTTCTGCGTGTTACCCTTTCCAAATCCCCTCGCTATGGGAAACAACACCCTCCAAGCTAACAACTTACATGCTAAAAAATGGTGTGTTAAGGCGAAAATTTGAGTCGTGCTTTTCCTGCTTTTGGTGAATTGCTATAAAGATCTACAACGAACTTTTGATTGCACCTTGTACTAGCCCAGACTCTGTCTCACAGAACTCTCATGCCTGATGTTGATCAGTTTTCTGACATAGCCAGTCAGAGATGATTTGCCGCATCTTCTCACCCTGGCAGTATCATGCGCCACTGACATTACCTTTTTTGTAGTTAATTAGTTAGTCATTTTATTGACACAAACAACATACTTGGGTCCAAAAAATATACACACTAAAAAAATCATATATAAGATAAACCCAGTAGTAAAAACATTAAAAAGTAATACACAGAGTCCCATCATTCAGTAGAGGCCTGCTGGTGCTCAAATACCACAAGACACTAAGATTCTGTTATCAGTCTCCACGAAGAGTGAGCTCTGTTCAGTAGAGTCATGTCCATATTTCTCACGGATATTCTGTGTAAGAGGGCACACAAGTATATGTTCTTTATTTTGTATGCCAGTCTTACAGGAACACACTTCTTGTTGTGGTGGCACAAGGCTCCACCTCCTCAGTTCCCCTCACAATCTGTGAGAGGATAACTGGAATCATGTAAAAGTTAATCTCAGATGGTCTTCAATGTAGGGTGTACTGCTGGTATAAAGTGGATGAAGAGATAAATCTGGGTTGATGGCTTGGTAGGTGTGGTGTCTTGTTCCCTCTTTAGATCTTGATTTTTCAGTCATCTCTCTACAGTCACTCTCAATGTGATCTTGCTGTTCATGTACAGATCTGTTCCACCTCACAAAAGCTTCTGTGATATCGTGGTAGTAATGTTCTGCTAGAGCCACATACAGCCAGCAAATCGTCTGTGTGAAGTCCAGTGAGCTCTTCCAGAGCTGAAGTGTAGTCACGCTTCACCTCTAGGGCATGATTATCAAATTATGTTTGTCGTTTTTATCAGCAAAAGTTGAATCACATAGTGACATATGACTGTTAATGTCCTTTTGCAGGGCCATTTTAATGACAGTGCTTGCCTTCCTGTGTACAAATGTTCTATTAAAACAAGTTGACCCCTGACACAACTTTGCAAGGGCACCATCGCTGCATCCTGGGGCGAAGTGCTGCCCAAGACAACTGTGATTAGTTTTAAGAAACAAAAACTAGTGTTTTCCCCCATAGCAGAAAGATAATTGGTGATTCCAGACCTTTCTCTAGCGCTGACACAGTGCTGTGGAGTTAGGTCTGACTATGTGAGATTAGTCTGTCCAGCGAGAGTGATTCCTCCTCTGTTGACCTTGCTAAGCTTCTCCCATTTTTATGCTGTTAATGGATTTTTGAGAGGAGTTTTCCCCTTATCTGAATCAAGGCTCTAAGGACAGATTGTAAAGCCCCTTGAGTCAAATTTGTGATATTGGGCAATATAAATTGACCTGACTATCATTATGATGCTGCATTTTGTTAAATGTAATGTTATGTGTTCTCTCCTTGGAAACATCTGTTAATGAACACCACTTGGCAATTCATTAAATTCACTTCTAAAATCATGCCACCTTTTAAAGGACAACTCCAGAGTGATGTCAATTTTGGCATTTTCATACATATTTTATTTTGTAGTTTATATGCATAATCTACAGCTGACATTGGAAGGGATGTTGAAATATGTTAATTCATTTACTGAAGAAGAATCTGGTCAGGCAGGCTGAGGGAGGACAGATACATATAAATATGTGTTTTACATTTTTATTGACAAGTGACTCCAAGAATGCATTTCATATTCCAGCTTGATGATATATAACTATGTATAAGGGTTTAATTTGTCCTTGAGTTTCCGTCACAGTCTCTGATTTTTCTTTTCCTCTTCGCTACAGGAACAGGCTGCATTGGAAGAAACAGCATCCAGTCAGACAAAGAAGACAGAAACATGTCCCAACTCCAACTACAGAGACAAGTACAGTCACCTGATTGGCACCTCAGCTGCGAAAGATGCAGCGCACACACTAGAGGCCAACCGGGCTTATGGCTGTGGTGAGTATATGTTGTTTCTCAGATCACTGTACTGCTTTGTCACACTTTAAAGGACAGTTTGGATCTCTCGATGTGGGGTTGTATGAGGTATTTATTCATAGTCGTGTGTTACCTATAGTAGTTGTCAGCACGCGCAGTTCAGTGAAGCTAGCAGGAGAAGCACCACAGAAGTTACATTTAGGCTCCCTAAAAAAGTCTCACCTAAAAAAATGAATATCAGTTTAAGTGTACACTATGTTTAGAATATTTTTACCACTTTACCTTGCTGTCAGACAGTGATTTTTGACAGGGAAGTGAAGGAGTTATATTGCTCTCTTCAAAGCCAGACCCCATTGAGGAAAAACAGTCATTTTTACATTGCTGAACACAGGAGCTGCTGGTCTACCGCTGCCTCGATCAGTTAGTTTGTGTGTGTTACCGGGTGACTTTGGTGTTTAGAAAGGGTTAGTTTGGATTCATCAAAGTCACACAATAATACAGACAAATTAACTGATCAAGGCAGCAGTGGAACAACAGTTCCTGTGTTCAGCAAGCTTAAATTGCTGTTTTTGTCAGTGGAGTCTGGTAGCTTTGATGAAGGCATAGGTGGAGAACTGAAACCATTAACGGCTTCCCTGTCGGAACAGGCTGTCTGCTTCAAGGTAAAATGGTTGCTTAGCTTCCATGTCACTACTGCTGCCTGCGTCTCCAAATTGGGGGTGTGCTGACCGCCATCTACTGCAGGTAATACTCTGACTATGGATAAATACCTCATACAAGCCCACTTCAAAAAATCTGAACTGTCCCTTTAAGTCACACCAGCAGCTGTGGCTCACAAGGTAGAGCAGGCAGTCCACTAATTGGAAGACCGGCGGCTTGATCCCCAGTTCTTCTAGTCCGCAAACTGAGGAGCAGGTGGGTCCTTGTGTGGAAGCCTTGGCCACCAGAGTATGAATGTGTGTGTGACTCATAGTGTTAAAAAGCACTTTGAGTGGTCTGAAGTCTAGAAAGGTGCTATACAAGTGCAGGTCCATTAACACCACTGTTCCCCCGTGTCTCATTTTTAACTCATTATGTCGGTGTTTTTCTCTCCCAGTGCCGGTGGCCAACAAGAGGGACACTCGCTCCATAGAAGAAGCCATGAACGAAATCAGAGCGAAGAAGCGGCAGAAGCAAGAGGACGACTCGGGCGCACACAGCAGCACTTCCTGAGTGTCCACCATCTCTTTGTCTACAGTTGTGTGGGTGTGTGTGCGCGCGTGTGTGTGTGGGCACATTAGTGTGTCTGTGTGCTCGGTCTAATTCATCCTATAATGCAATATCTTGTACTTCAGACATTTAAAAGTATAACTTATAATGACAGGTGTTGAATCAAGTATGTTTGTCGTTCTGTGAATTTTGGAGTCGTGAAACCTTGTTTAGTGGAGGATCCTCAGGTGAGTCTGATCCAGGAGCTGGATTAATATACATGTTTTGACATTTGCTTGTGACATTCTGTCAATTATCAAGCTTCTCACACGTGATTGGACCCTATGCGTTATGAGAAACCTGTTTCGATTACCAAACAATGTGTTTGGGTGTGAAGCTACTTAAAAACACACGATATCTTCAGACATAATTTTTAAAAGTCAGTTTGTCAGTGATTGACATTTTTAATGCACATGTGCAGTTACAGTCCTACGTGACATTTTTATCATTAAAGTATTGACAGTTTTGAGCCGTGGCCAGGCCAGATAAAAAGTGTGGCTGAAAAATCCCACCGACAGTTTTTCCAAATCTCCAGTGCAGCTTTTAAAAGGGAAACAGGAATGCCGTCTAACGACCAGCTTTTGGTTTCATTTCTTGGGTTGTTGTTTTTTTTCTTAGTCTCAACCTGTTTCAGATCTTTGTAAAGTTGGAAGCATGCCATTTCCTCCATTTCAAGAGGAAACTCATTTTAGAAAACCCCATTTTGTGGATTTTAGGAATCTGTAATTAAGTCAGAGATTTTCTTTGTTTCTATACATCTGCACCGACTGTGAATTCAACTGTTACTCCAGACTAAATGTTTTATCCTTAAGCCACACGATGGCTGGCAATAGGCATCACAGCAGGGAGCAGAGGTAGCAGACTCATTGTAGGAACATTGGTCACAACTCATTTGTTTGTTTGTAAGTCTCTCGGCATCTTGACATCTGTTCTAACAAGGTTGCACTGTTTTATCCCCCCATGTGTGTTAATAAATGGAGAACAGTATAAGACCTTTGTCTCTATGTTGCACTCATTTCTGCACCACCTACTCTGAATTTTAGCTGTTTTCAGACTGGTTTTGGTGTCTTATAAAGAGTTTAATCTGCATTATTAAGTGGTAACATTCATTATCATTGAATGTAATAGAAGATAGCATAATGACTTGCTCACAAGTGCCCTCACTGGTCATCTACTGCACACAGTCCTTACCTAAAGTTCAGTGTAACAGCTACACACGTGTGTATTTACATATCTGACAGCTTCTCTCATGAGAAGACCAATAAACAAAACATGTAATGGGGGTTACTTGGCAGTAGTGCAATGTAACCAAGTACATTTATTTAAGTGGTACTTTCCTTGAGTACTTCCATTTTAGGCTGCTTTATCTTTCTACTACTACATTACATTTCAGAAGGAGACACTTTGTACTTTGTTTTTACTTCAGGAAATATTTTAATTTTACTTGTACTTTTTTTTTTTTTTTTTACTTAACTATATTTCAGGAGGAAATATTTTACTTTTTACTTTCTTTTAACTTTATTTAAAACAAAAATTTTACTTCTACTTCTTTTTACATCATTTCAGAAGGAATTTTTTATTTTATTTTGTACTTTTTAATTTTACTACGTTTCAGTAGGAAAATGTTTAATCTTTCTGTACTATTTATTTTTTTATTTTACTACATTTCAGATATTTTACGTTGTCCTTTTTTAATTCATTTAAGAAGGAAATATTTTAATTTTACTTGTACTTTTTTATACTATACTATATTTGAGAAGCAAATATTTGTACTTTTTGAACTTTTTTCAGAGGGAAACTATTTTATTTTGTACTTTAAAAAATACAGTTTATATTACATTTACTGTTTTTTTTTTCTAAACTTCATTTCAGAGGGAAACAGTTTAATCTTTTTGTACTTTTCATTTACTTAACTACATTTCAAAAGAAAATATTTTCATTTTCCTTTGTATGTTCTTTTATACTTCATTTAAGGAGAAAACATTTTTATTTTATTTTATTTTTTCCCCTCACTTTAAACATTTAAGAAGGAAATATGTTACTTTCACTTTGTATTTCTCTAACCACTACATTTATCTAACAGCTGTAGTAACCATCTCATAAAATGTGATGCATTGTTACAGACTGCACTATAATATATAGTTAAAATGATGTCCATTTCAACCAGCTAAAACATTAGAATGCATTTTAATGTATTTGTATTTTTTTTATTACTTTATTGATTTATTTTATCAACACTTGTATTGAGTTCTTCATTAACTCTTTTCATCATACAGTATAAATAAAACAAAGGACATACCATACCATAGGCTTCATATAAGCCCATAAATCCAATTCCAGTAAGAATAAAAATATTTATTTCATATAATAATCAATAATAATAGCAGTAGCAATAATAATATACAGTGTCCATTCAGTCAGCTAATGAGCACTTTGACCTTTGATGTTTTAATTACTTTTAGCTGACTTTTTTCTGAAGTAAAATCATTAATGCAGGATTTACTTGGGATCGAGTTGTATAGTGAGAAATCGCTACTTGTACATGGTCTAAGTAAAATATGTCAGCACCTCCTTCACATCTGTTATTTCATCACTCCACATCAAGTCTATTTCAGGGTCATGTCATCATGCCCCTCTGAGCCAGCGCTACCTTTTGTGTCCTGAAGGGGGCGCCGTAGATCAACCAAGAAAAAAGTTTAATGTTTTTTTTTTAATCCTTGCCTCACACTGTCCTGCAGTTTGTGTCCTGCAGAAACACACTTATTGCGCGCTGAGACTCAGTCACGCACATGTAAAAAATGAAGTCCATGTTTTTGTTCTTCTTCATTATTTGGTTTGCAGATGCAGAGCTGAAACCCCGGCAAGGTAAGAGCAGGCTCGGCTGATTTATTTACTTTATTCTGTCCTCATCTAACGTGTGGGGCTTAAATAAGGAAAAGCATGAGAACGTGACTCAGATAAGGAGAGGTTCAGTCGGAGTTTCAGCCCAGACTGACCTGACATGTTAAGATTTACATCCTCTGTTGCTCCAAACATGACTTTAGAGTTTGGGGTGAAACTTATTTATCTCATTCTGTCACTAGAGAAAGTTAAGCTTGTGTTTATCTTAATGTGCTGAAGTTGAGTCAGAGGCATTTGTTTTCCTCTGGTTTGCATTACATGGAGCTGACTGTCGCTTTGACTAAATGTCTCTGAGAGATGTTTTAAATATCAGTTGACATGGAAATGCCTTAGTTTTGCTGTTCGGATCATCTACGCCACATGTAGCTCATCCTCCTCATTTCTGACACCCAGGACTCGGGGTGGTTTGTACTTTCAAAGACAAGTCATACAGCCCTGGAGACAGCTGGCATCCCTATTTGGAGCCTTTCGGAATCATGTTCTGCATGCGCTGTGTCTGCACAGAGGTACCTCTAAGCAAAGTTTATCACTGCTGAGCTAACATTTTTAAAGGAATATTACACTCAAATTGCTCCACTCTCTCCAGCTCTGCTGACACAGTGCTTGTAAACTCCTTTTTGCTTTCTTAGACAGGCCATGTGAAATGTAACACAATCAAGTGTCCTGCTCTGTCATGTGAAAATCCAGTAGCTGAGCCTCAGCAGTGTTGTCCGAGATGCACAGGTACACTGATGTTCTCTAACACCTTGTCAGCTCTGAGTCTTTAGAGGTGACTTTAAAGCCTCCTGTCATGTGTGATGTGCCCTCCTCAGATGAGCCCAGGATCCCTGCAGGTCTGAGAGCTTCGGTGAAATCCTGCAAGTATAATGGAAGTGTGTATCAGCCAGGAGAGACCTTCACAAAGCTTGACCTCTTCCCATCCAAGCAAAGCAATCAGTGTGTTATGTGCACGTGCTCTGTAAGTTACACCTCATTTCATACTTTAATTCATCTGGTGAAAGTCTATGGTAAACTACATGCATGCAGTATGGAAGCATTTTAACGTCTGTATGGTTTTACGTGAGCTCAAGTTCTTACTCTACATATGGCAACATTTCATCAGTGAAATGTTCATGTACTGCTCGTCAAAGCAAAGTTACTATGTGCTTTATAGACAAAAAAAACCCCAAAGGAATTGAAAAGAATAAAATGGAAAAATAGCAGATATTTCAGATATATCTTATCTTAAATAAACTCAATCCAAAATAATAAGTACTGTACAACTTCAATTAAACGCCCAGTCCCTTTTACTAGCCCGGTGTGGCTTTACATTTTGACACATAAACGCCTGTCTCAATTATGCCTGTCTGGTTGCCAAACAGTTCACTTCTTCTAATAGACATTCTAAACCAGGTTTAAATCAGTAATTTTACCGTGTAGAACATGGGAGCTGCTGTTTGCTGCTGGTTGTTGCCTCACTTGGTTAGTTTGTGTTATTGCGTGACGTAAAGGTTTAATTTGGATTTACCAGACAGCATAGATAATGGCTTCAGTTTCCTGTCGAATAGTGCTGTCTGCGGCAAGGTAAAGTGATGAAAATATTGTAAATATTGCATACACTTAAACCGACTGATTTTTTTTTGGTGGCTAAAATACGTTTTGCTGCTGCCCTCATCCATAGCAGTGCATTGCTTAGCTTCCATGGCCAGCTTCTCCAGCCTGGTGGCATGTCAACTGCCATCTAACATATACTATTAATAATTACCTCATACAACTCCACTTCGAAAACTCAGAACTATTCCTTTAAAAGAGGTGAAAAATCAAATAAAATCTGCTGTAACTACATGATGTACATTAAATAAATGTGTTAAAAACTTGTAATGCATGAAGAGCATCTCTGCTCACTGCTTTACAATATAGCTGCTAATGCTGCAGTGAAAGTGGAAATGGTGGGTCAAGTTCTATTTAATTTGTAGCTGGTAAAACCATCTTGCTTTAGTTTGTGTGCTGGCTGAGCTTGATCGTGACTTGTGATCGACACAAGACAATGGATGAAAGGTTTAATTTAGAGAACCAACTGAGACTTAATAAACTTTAATGTCCCCAGAGGGGCAATTTGTGGTCCAGCCCAGTAAACAATAAACCTAATGTAAACACAGAACAACAAGACAACAATGGAAGTCCGTGATTATGAACTGTCAGTAAATTCATAAGAACATATTTTACACATCGTTCTGTATTCCAACTTGTCCCCCCCGACCCCTCCACTGTCTGCGAGTTCACCTCAGCCCAACTTAGCCTTTAACCAAAGGCAGATATCTGAGAGGAAAGTAGAAGTTCAGCCAAAATTGACATCACCCTGGAGTTGTCCTTTAAAAGGCTGCATGATGTGAGAGGTTAATTTTATGAGTTGCTAAGTGGTGTTCATTAATGAAAGTTTCCACGGAGACAACACATAACAGTATACTTAATGAAAAGATTCCCAGTAAAAAATTTTTTTACAGCAGTCCTACGAATCATGTTCATCCTCATACATTTCTTTCCTGGAGCTCATAGTCAATATTCAGTATAACATCCTCGCAGCTTTACCTATTACTACGATATAGGTTTCTAGTGGGATTGTGAATCACTGCAGTTATGGATTACTCCGCAAGTTTTTCTAAGACATGCCGTCAGATGTCGTGAGGTTGCTCAGGTAGGTTGCCCATTATTTGTAGATGTTTGTAGCTGTGTCCTCAAGCAAGACACTGAACCCTTAATTACCCGAGATGAGCAGCACAGCAGCTTTCAGAGCAGCTCAGCCGCCACTGGTGCATCTACTGCATGTGCAACAAAATAATATGTCATTCTTTCTGTACAGGAGCCAAATAAATGTGTTGTCTCATTGCGTTTTTACTGCTATTTATCAAGAACATTAGATCTGAGAAGACGCTGTGATGTCGTTTGGGCTTTGTCCATAAGAAATAAAATTTAAAAGCCTGCAGAAACTTCTCAGTACTTGAGCCTAACCCCTCTGGAGTGCGTACTTGGAAATTTAAAAAATATGACATGTTGCCTCCCTTTCTTTTCTCAGAATGGAAACATCTTCTGCGGACTGAAAACCTGCCAACCA